AATTAACACAGGTTGTTTTTTTGACCAAACTGACATTTATTCTTACGTTAACTCGACGTTTCGACACTGGTTTTGTGTCCTTATCAAGAGATTTCTAAAAGTATGCAAAACGAAGTCGTTACAAGCATGTTGTTACAGGAACGAATGTCGTACGAGAAACAATCAAGGAAATATCTACCTATATTGTTCGCAAATTGCATTAGCCACTCACAAAGTTCTTGCCGTTTTACTAACATTGTCAAATCTTAAAAGAGTCGCAGTCCAGAGCGAGCCGCAGTCATGATGTGAACGGAACCGACCGGTGACACGTCGTTCCGGATCGAAAGACAGCGACTGATTAATCGTCGATATATAAATAAACGACTGTATAGGTCAAACAAATAAAAATAACGTTTAGAGAGTAATTATTACGTGGCTCTTATGATTCTATCGTATAGCGGATTGAGATTCTCAGTGTCTTTTTTTAAATTGATCGTGTTATTTTGTTCTTTTTTTATGTAAAACATCTCTGCAATCTCCCTCTTCCTTACATTTCTCTCTCTATAATGCATGATTTCCGTATCGGACCATTTAAAATTATGCCCGTGTGTAAGTTGGTGCTTGCTAACAACGGAGTGTTTATTCACATCTTTTTCGATGTCACCTAAATGTTCCTTCACACGAGTTTCCAAATGTCTTAAGGTTTGTCCAATATATTTGGAAAATTTTTACACACCACCGACCTCGATAATGGTGGTTTGGATGAGGCATGGATTTTTCGGGAACATCACGAAGAATTATGGACATAACAACACAATTTTACTGAAGTCATGGATCAACACAAGAAACAGGATCTGCAGAGTGAGCCAACAGCAACAGGTCGATCGCTGCATATTAAATAGATACGCGGAATGCAAAAAATTTTTACGAGAAAACCACGATGTCTTCGTCACGAAGGCTGACAAGGGTCAGGTCACTGTTATTATGGACAGGGATGAATACTTGACAAAAATGACTAATTTACTTAAAGACGAGTTAACGTACAAAAAATTAAAGAAAGATCCTATTAGACAAATCTCCTTGAAATTAAATGAACTTGTCAGATCGTGGCGAGACAGTGGTATTATCGAGGACACGGACTACAAGTGTTTAAATTGCACCAACGGTAATCTCCCACGTTGTTACGGGCTGCCAAAGATCCATAAAAATGGTTTTCCCCTACGGATTATTGTTTCGGCTTTGGGAAGTCCCTTATATAACGTAGCGTCCTTTCTCCACAGTATCTTGCATCACTCTATTCGCCCACCTAAGTCTCACATCAAGGACAGTTGGTCCTTTGTAAGAGAAATCAATGACATTGAGATTAATACTGATGAGGTACTCGTTTCCCTCGATGTAACGGCTTTTTTCACCAACATCCCGAAGGAGTTAGTTCTCAGAGGAATAGAAAAACGTTGGCAGGATATCTCTGGTAACACGAAGCTTAATTTGCCGCAATTTTTGCATGCTATTGAGCTGGTACTGGGATCTACGAGTTTCAGTTTTAATGGTGACACATATGAACAGATCTTTGGCAGTCCGATGGGATCTCCGCTTTCACCAATATTAGCGGATATTGTGATGGAGGATTTAGAGACTCACTGTCTTGCTATGCTTAATTTTTCTCTGTCGTTTTTCCGCCGTTATGTCGATGATGTTATTGCCGTAATTCCTAAGGATAAAATTGGGGATGTCCTTGACGCGTTTAATAACTATCACCCCCGTTTAAAATTTACTCACGAATTGGAGGTAAATGGGGCCATCCTCTTTCTAGATACTCTTATCATCAAAAATGGCAACAGGCTTTTGACTAATTGGCACAGGAAACCCACGTTCTCAGGCCGATATGTAAATTACTTTTCCAACCATCCATTGAAATACAAATATAATACAATCACAAGCCTTGTTGACCATGCAATTTTACTTTCGGATAAACAATTTCACAGTTCTAATATTAAAATTGTGAGGGACATCCTTAGGAATAATTGCTTCCCAGAAGAGCTGATTGATAAGCAAATTAACAACAGATTAAAAGAATTAAAACATCGCAATAACATCACCGACTGTAATAATGTAAGCAATACTTTCGACGCCCGGAAATACATTGCGCTTCCTTACATTAAGGGTCTTAGTGAGAATATTCGCCGGACCGGATTCGATGTGGCCTCGATGTCCTTTACACGATCCCCAAAAAGCTGGATTCAATTATAAAACGGGGTAAAGATAAGCTCGAAAATATGAAAGAAACAGGAGTGGTCTACAAAATCGAATGTAATGACTGTAACGTTTCTTATATTGGACAAACCTTAAGACATTTGGAAACTCGTGTGAAGGAACATTTAAGTGACATCAAAAAAGATGTGAATAAACACTCCGTTGTTAGCAAGCACCGACTTACACACGGGCATAATTTTAAATGGTCCGATACGGAAATCATGCATAGAGAGAGAAATGTAAAGAAGAGGGAGATTGCAGAGATGTTTTACATAAAAAAAGAACAAAATAACACAATCAATTTAAAAAAAGACACTGAGAATCTCAATCCGCTATACGATAGAATCATAAGAGCCACGTAATAATTACTCTCTAAACGTTATTTTTATTTGTTTGACCTATACAGTCGTTTATTTATATATCGACAATTAGTCAGTCGCTGTCTTTCGATCCGGAACAACGTGTCACCGGTCGGTTCCGTTCACATCATGACTGCGGCTCGCTCTGGACTGCGACTCTTTTAAGATTTGACAATGTTAGTAAAACGGCAAGAACTTTGTGAGTGGCTAATGAAATTTACGAACAATATAGGTAGATATTTCCTTGATTGTTTCTCGTGCGACATTCGTTCCTGTAACAACATGCTTGTAACGACTTTGTTTTGCATACTTTTAGAAATCTCTTGATAAGGACACAAAACCAG